GCCCATGGAGTGATGGGTCATGTCTTAGCCCCTTGTTTTATTTGAACCATGTCCACTTTGTCCCAGGATAGGGAGTAGGGGACAAGAGCACACGGCTATGGTGCTGGTAATTCCCATTTGTACAGGTTTGTATCTAACCTGCTCTTTACAGCAATCTCGTTTCCATTTAAGAGAGGTAGAGTAGGGCTTAGAGAGGCCCAGTGGACGGTGCATATATCACTGCTACAATACATGACAAAAGTGAGGTGTGTGTGTGTTTGTGTGTGTGTGTGTGTGTGACCAGAGGTTAACATTAGGTGCCTTCTGTAATCACCCCCGTGTGTTGAGGATGCAGATGTGCAACGCTGCACCTGCTTACTTATTTACTTAGCGTGCGTAGGTGTGCACACACGAGCATGCCGCTGTGTGGATGTGAAGGTTAGGAGTCAGCTCTCTCCTTCCACCCACATGTGTTCTAGGGACCTAACTCAGGTTGTCAGGTTCGGTGGCACATGCCTTTACCCACAAAATCATCTCGTGGCCCCACATCAGCTTTCCAAGTGGGTGCTGGGCGTTTGAACTCAGGTCCTCATGGGTGTCCAGTAAGTAACTCTACTGCCGGAGTCCTCACTCCAGTCTCACAAGCACGAATGATACAGACTCCAGACTTGGTTTTCTTTCTATTGTACGCCCTTGGGTTGGGATGTGTGCAAGAAATGGATGCAGATTGAACACCTACTATGTTCAGTTAATAGAAACAACCCCAGCGGTAGGATGAGCTGTGCTTTATTCAGCAGGGAGTGAGCTGGGGGAAGCTAAACCTCTGGTTGAGGCCACACACAGCGATGCAACACGATCAGAGCTAGCGTGAAAGCGGTCCAGTTCTCCGCCACGGTGACCCAGGTGGGCTCAGCGCTGACATCATTTCTCCTAGCCTTGTTCCGTGTGGTGGCTCAGGATAGGGATCTCCCGAGGTGTTTTGTCCTGACACATTACTTAACCCACACTGGGACTTTGGGGTTTAGACACTCTGTTTAAAGCAAGGCTGGGGAGGGTGTCCTTGCCCGTGTAGGTCTGTGGGCAGGTACCAACATATTCCTTGCACAACAGCCCCACATAAGCCCCTTAACACTCACCAACTCCTACCTGGGCCCAGAGCCTGGAATGGGTCTGGGCTGTGACCTGGACCTCCCACCTGGGTCCCCAGCCTGTCTTGTCTGGAACCTGCCCATAGCTCACAGAGGAACAAAACTGCAGCTTCCTGGTTCAGCTCTGCCCCTGGGTAGGCATGGTGACCTTGTGGTTTACAGTTTAGTTGCCAAGAGCTGAGGCCAATTCAGGGTAAACAAAGGAACCATAAAACAAGGCCTAGGTTGTAGGGTGCAGGCTCTCAGGACAGTTGGCAGGGGCCTGTGGGGGGGGGACCAACGACAAGTGTCTTACTCAGTACCCCATCTCAGGCCTTTTAGGGAAACAGTTGAATGTTGGTTGCTATTTCTTTCTTTCCCCCGTGGGTCTCCGTACCTTAGCTTTTTCCAAATCATAAGATTGATTATAAAAGTGTGGTCCCAGAGCCCCGCTCTCCCCCTTTCTGCCCACCCCTGTGGCCTCTTTCTCTGCCTTACAATACCCTCAGTCCCCTCTTAGCACTTTAAGTTCGCAGGAGGTTTTGGAACTGGAGGCAGAGGCCAGGCCGCACCCCGGCCTCAGATTGCCCCGAGATCCTTGTCCCTGCCTATGAAAGCTTCTCTTGTCAAAACAGAAACCCTCCTTCTGCCTCAGGGGACCCTGGAATGTGACTGTGGGGCGGGGTGTGGGCCCACACAGGTGTGGCAGGTGACTGGGTCACCAACACAGGAGGATGCAGATTGGGGTGTGGGACGAAGCCTTTCTTTGTGTGTGTAGGATGGAAAGGCTTTGCTCTTTCAGCCTCAGAGCTGTTTATGGGGAGCTCCAGGGCTGGCAGCGGAGCTGGGTCTTCCCATCGTGGATATCATTATGGCTACTCCAGTTTGCAACTTATCTCCCATCAGCCACCTTGCTCTGTTTATGCATCAGTCACGTAGGTATGGAGCTATTTCCATTTTGCCGGCATAGATGGAAACTCAGAAAGAGGCCAGATCATTGCACAGAGTCATATACCTGGTAGAAAATGGAAAGGTGGGACTCTAAGGTTAGAGGCTGACGTCTCTCTCCCTGGAACGATCTTGAGGGCAGGGACGGTGGGAATGAGAGCTAATGTTTAGGCATCACTATGGTGTTGGGGCCTGACAAGCCATTTTGAACCACGATCCAGGCTCAGAGAGACCAAGTCACCTCCGAGATAGACCCCAGTGGGCAGCATGGCCTCATCTCAAAGAGGGAGGGCCTGTTCCAGAGACACCTGTTTGGCTACTGTGGGCAAAGACCAGAAACAGGCACCTATCTACCCAGGCTGCTGATGAAGACGCTCCAAACCTTACTCAGATATGTGCTTACAGTAGCTGTTCGGACTGAGATCAGGGCCTTCCTCCCTCCCTCCCTTTCTTCCTTCCTTTCTTCTTTCCTTCCTTTCATGTGTGCAAGCATGTGAAGGCCAGAGTTGTTCTCCAACCTCTTTCCATCTTGGTTTTTGAGAGAGGGTCGTTCTCTGAGATAGGAGCTCACTGATTGGGCTGGACTGGCTGGCCAGTGAGCTTCAGTGATCTACTTCTCCTTCCCCCACCCCCAGGGTTTATAATCCTGTGCTGGGGGGGGGGGAGATAAACCTTTAGCACCGTACCTGGCCCTCACATGGGGACTGGGGATCCTGACTCAGATCTTTGTGCTTGTGTGGGGGAATACTCTATTGACTGAGCCATCTCTCCAGCCCCAAGATTAGAGACTACTTTCTTGTAAATTAGGCCAGAGAAGAAGGCAGGTGTCACTCCTGACTTGGGCCAGAGAGTGTAAGGAAAGTCTCCCCAAGGGCTGCTAGCGGGGTGTAAGGGCGCAGAAGAGAAGCTGGCTAGAGTCCAGTTCTCCCTCACCCCGGGGGTGATGGAAGATTAATTGTTCTCTGTGTTAATTGCTGGGGCCTCTGTGTCTGCAGAGGTTTTAATGAGCTCTGACTGATCTTGGTTTGATTATTTTTCTATGGAAGGAAAAGACAATATCCTCCCACCCATAAGACAATACTATACTGTCTGGAGCCAGCCCTAGGATGCCTGGCTTGCTGTGAAGCTGCCGGGGAGCCCTCTCCCCGAGGCCTGTAGTTCTTTTTAACCCAGATCAGATAACAGGAAAGTTTTCTGTATCTTGCTTGGGTGGGTGGGTGGGAGTGGGGGTATCAAAGGGCTGACATGGTCCTGGTAATCCCCTTTTCAGGTGGGCCGTCCTGTGTTCACAGCATCATCCCTTCGAGTCTTAATTTTGTTCCTTCTGAAACTCGGGCTACAGTTGTGCATTGTATCACAGGATTAGAGGGGATTGTGGATACAAAAGTACTTTGTCAGTCCTGAAAGTCTGGGGCAGAAGTAGAGGATTATCTTGTTACAGCCAAAAGAAGGGTCATCTGATGGCTAGCTGGAGCTGCCGAGCCTGAGAATGCTCCAAGTCCGAGGAGGGTTCTCAGGGGGTTCAGGTGTCAGACTTGCAGCCATCATTTCCCTCCAACAGACGACTCAGGGAGTCGGGGGGTGGGGGCAGCAGGATGGGAATCGTGAGTCTCAGCACGTCCCATAAAAATGTCCTATATCACAAAGAAGCCAAGCCTTAAAAAGCGACATGTGTTTCACAGGAGTCATTGGTAGAAATGGGGTTTAAACACAGACCCATGGCAGGCCAGACCCCTATTCACCTTCCTGTATTGCAGTCCCCATGAGGAGCCCTCCTCTGGCCTCTCTCCGGGATGAGTGGCACCACCCACAGGGCCATTGTCTTAGAGAAATAGCGCTATTGAACCGGTGGCAGAGGATCCTCCTGAATGTGCGCCTGTCCTTTTCGGCCTCGGTATTCCACGGGACTGATTCCTTGGCTTCTGAGCTCTGATGCCTTCCACCTGCTTGCCAGCCCCCCTGCCCCCGCATTCCTCCCAGCACTTAGGCACACAGGGCCTCTAACTCAGCCCCTCCCCAGTTGGCAGCAGTTGACAAAGGCAAATGGGGGCTAATCTGGCCCTGCTAAGCAGGGACATGTCTCTTGCTGGAGAAGGCGGGGGCTTTCTGGAACTTGCCTGAGTCTTATCTGCAGGGGTTTGCCCCAACGCGTCTTGGGAGCAAGCAAAGGTTCAGTGACATGTGCAGTTGGCAGGTGACAGGATTATCAGTCAGACTCCTGTCAACCTGAGCCTTCTGGGCTTTTGTCAACTAGCCAGGACCATGAGCTGGGGGGAACTGAAGAGGCAGGAGGGACTTCTGGGATTGGAGTGGTGGAAGGGATAGTGAGAGGAGAGAACATTCCCAGGCATCAGGGATGGGAAAGAGGGACGGGTACTGGCTTTTCTGGCCACCTTAGTGGAAACTTGACTCAAGACCCTATCCTCAGGCTGCCCTGTGGTCACCTGTGTTCTCATTCCTAGGGACTTCCATGTCTTGAAGGCTCATGCACAGGGCCTTCGAGAAGGGAGTACAGAGCAGCGACGGGAGAAACTGAGAGCAGGGAGCTGTCTATCTCGGGGGGAGGCTCACACGCTAGCTGAGGGGGACAGAGCTGACCCGGCTGCTCTAACAGGGTGGGACACGAGAGAACCTCGGGAGCTGTGCTATGCTGAGGATTTGCTCTTGTGGCTCTCTTCTTCCTGGAGTAAGAAATGAACCTGTAATCCAAGTGTTAAAATGTGGCCTAGAGCAAAACCCCATTAATTCTGAATCATCTCTTTTGTTGCATTAAGGAAAAAAAAAAAAAAGAAAAGAAAAGAAAACTTCCCCACAAGTGAGCCTTGTGGAGGTGTGCAGGCAGCTGTGTTTGTCTGGAAGGCAGAGGAGTTGGCTCCACTCAGGGGGAGGAGGCGAGGCCCCCACCCCCTCCTAAGGGTATATAAGGAGTCCCTGGCTAGGGGGACAGCACTGAAGCCTGGTTTCAGCCCAGCTCAGAAGCTCCTGCTCGAGTCTCTCCTTCTTTCAAGGACACGGAGGCACAGGCTGCCTGACCATGGCTACCACATTCCTGCAAACTTCTTCCACCTTTGGCGGTGGCTCGACCCGAGGGGGTTCCCTCCGTGCTGGCGGAGGCAGCTTTGGTGGAGGGAGTCTCTATGGGGGTGGTGGGAGCCGAAGTCTCTCTGCTTCTTCTGCTAGGTTTGTCTCCTCGGGGGCAGGAGGGGGATATGGAGGCGCTATGAGTTGTGGTTTTGGTGGTGCTGGTAGCGGTTTTGGTGGAGCCTTCGGTGGGGGTTTTGGCGGTGGCTTTGGTGACTTTGGTGGCGGCGATGGAGGTCTCCTTTCTGGCAATGAGAAGATCACCATGCAGAACCTCAATGACCGCCTGGCATCCTACCTGGACAAGGTGCGTGCCCTGGAGCAGGCTAACACGGAGTTGGAGGTGAAGATCCGAGACTGGTACCAGAAGCAGAGCCCAGCCAGTCCAGAGCGAGACTACAGCCACTACTTCAAGACCATAGAAGAGATCCGGGACAAAGTAAGTCCTCCTATGTCAGACAGAGGGAAACAGGCGGCTGGGACGCTGTACACATCTGTAACATCAAGACTACTGCTAAGAGAAGCCTTTCCTGCTGTATGGCCTGGGGTCCACCTGCTTTCAAGGCACACATGGGAACGCATCTGTTCTACGTGATGCTGGGGGAGGGAGTGGTCTTGATTTGGATACATAGGGCTGCAGATGGGGGCAACAAAAGAGAGCAACTCCTTCTCCCCGCCCCACGAACACTCACAGGGATTTTTGTAAACTATTGCTTTTACTTTTAATCTGCATGCTGTTCAGGAGCAGCCTCATGAGTCCTAAGTACCAGAACCGTTGGCTGCTTCAACTCTCGAGGATGTCTTTATTGCTGAAAGCATTGTTGGATCTTAGGAGCGCAGGGAACTTAATACAGGCTGTGCCACCCCCTCACTTTCCCTTTTACTGACTAGAACTGTTTTCCTTAGTTGTAAATGCTTTCCTTAGCTGCTGTCCAAGTTCTCAATGATTGCAGTGTTTTGGAGACGAAGAGCGCTGTCAAGGCATGCAGGAGGCAGCCACTGTGATCTGTGCCCAAGAAGACACTGGTATAGTGTCTCGTACTGGACAGAGCCAATGTAGCCGTTGCAGCATGGCCTTGGCTAGCCACGTCCCACAGGCAATCCCAGGCAATGCTGCCTCCCTAGTTTTCTGTGCCTTGAAGGTGTCACAGGAGAGGTAGCACGGGTCAGTACAACTGCAGCACACAGGAAGCGATGCAGGGGAGTGGTTGGTAAAGGGGGACTTGGGCACAGGACAGAAAAAGCAGCAGCCCTTAGGTACAACTCTCTGTCTCCTGCAGATACTGGCTGCCACCATCGACAACTCACGTGTCATCCTGGAGATTGACAATGCCAGGCTGGCAGCGGATGACTTCAGGCTCAAGTGTGTTCCCACTGTGACAGCCCTACTTATGGCACCCCCTCTACTCAGCCTTTCTCCTCTCTGACTCAGAAACCCGGGCCCCTCACCTTTCCCGACTTTGACGCCTTTCCATTCCCCAGGTATGAGAATGAGCTGGCCCTGCGCCAGAGCGTGGAGGCTGACATCAACGGCCTGCGCAGGGTCCTGGATGAGCTGACCCTGGCCAGGACTGACCTGGAGATGCAGATTGAGCAATTGAATGAGGAGCTGGCCTACCTGAAGAAAAACCACGAGGAGGTGACAGCAGGGCAGGGTGGTAGGAAGAAGAGCAGGACCACAGGTCTTTTGTCTCAGTCCACCAGGGCTTAGTGGTTTGGAAATACACCTCAGGGGCCCTGGAGGAAATGGGGGCACTATTCTCTGGTAATCTGGACCCAAGGCCAGGCTAGGTGTGAACTGCAGGATTGGTTGGCTTCATGGGCTTATTCTCTGAAGGTCCTTGTTTCATAGGACCCAGGGCAAAAGAGTTCTTCAGATCTGAGGGTTCCATATGCTCCAATGGGGAACAGGAATGGGGTGATGTGAGGTGTTAAGGTCACACTGTGATTTAGAGACAGTCAGGGTTAGCCCCAGGACTCAAGATTCTTAGGTCTGTTTTATAGCCTGGTCTTTAAATGGTTCACCGGCCTGCTCCCCCTCCCCGCCCCACTCTGCAGGAGATGAAAGAGTTCAGCAGTCAGCTGGCTGGCCAGGTCAACGTGGAGATGGACGCAGCACCTGGGGTGGACCTGACCCACGTGCTGGCTGAGATGAGGGAACAGTATGAGGCCATTGCAGAGAAAAACCGCCGGGATGCAGAGGCTTGGTTCTTCAGTAAGGTGGGTCTGACTTGTGGCCCCCCCCCCCCCCCCGCTCTCCCACTCCTCCCGATTCTATGGGTCTCTAAGGAGGTCCATGAGGTTCATGTTTCTCATGGGTGACTTGCAGACTGAAGAGCTGAACAAGGAGGTAGCCTCCAATACAGAAATGATCCAGACCAGCAAGACGGAGATCACAGACCTGAGACGCACCATGCAGGGGCTAGAGATCGAGCTGCAGTCTCAACTCAGCATGGTATGGTCACACTGGCCCTATTGGGTGATACATGTACCCATCTTCCATGGCTGGTAAAGCCTCCCCCCCCACCCACATGTTCCTGTCATTCCGGACTCTCCATACCACCCCCTTCTCCCTACCCCTCTACCTTCAGTGGGTTGCCTTCTAGCCTGATGGGTCTATGGCTCTGTTGCCCCACCAGAAAGCCGGGCTGGAGAACTCTCTGGCAGAGGTGGAGTGCCGCTACGCCACACAGCTGCAGCAGATCCAGGGACTCATCAGCAGCCTGGAGGCCCAGCTGAGCGAGCTCCGCAACGAGATGGAAGCTCAGAACCAGGAGTACAACATGCTGCTGGACATCAAGACTCGGCTGGAGCAGGAGATCGCCACCTACCGCAGCCTGCTCGAGGGCCAGGATGCCAAGTAGGTGTATAGGTGCAGGGAGAGAAAGGAGGGGGATGGATGGGCTGGGGTTCAGGGCCATCAGAAGAGGAAATCGGGCTATCCCAAGATGTGCTTTATTGAGTGGAAAGAGACCTAAGGAGCCAGGAGTCTCTGTTCCGGTGTTCGGTTGTTACTTCCGGTGTATCGCTTCTACTCCCTGGACCCATGTTTTGCCTGGAAATGATGGACACGGCAGGACGACAGCTCCCAGTCTGTCTGTTTGCGATGTCAGGCCTGAGGGACTGATCACCAGGATGCCCTTGTCCTTAGAAAAGTCACATGTGGTGTGAGTGGAGAGGACTCCCTTTGGGAGACTGGAGCTTCCTTCTTTAACTAACATCCAGTGTCCCTTCTCTTTTAGGATGGCTGGCATTGGTGTCAGGGAAGGTGAGAGAGGGTAAAACCCTTTGGTGTGGGTGGGAGCAGAGTATTGGCAGCACCACACTACTCACAGTGGGGAGGAAGGAGGAAGAGACACATGTCCCAATAAATCGGGGTTTTCCTGCTCCAGGACATCCTCCTGCCCCAAGGACTCTGGGTGGGATTGAGATTAGAAGTTTCCTAAGAACATTCCAGACTGAGCAGGCTTTGATCAGGGGTTGCCTTTCTACCTGGTCTCACTGTCATACTGGTGTGATACCACACACACTGTAACTCCTGTTTGTGCATAGCTTAAAATCCCCCATAACGTGCACTGCTGGGCATTCCTTAGATTACCAGCTCTCACCTCTGATAAGCAATTCACCAGACCTCCTGGCAGCTCCAGGGGGATTGGCCAGTGGCTTTTTGCAGAGGTGCTGTCCATTTTCCCAGGGCCTAAGCCTGTTTCTGGAAGTCCTCCATGCAGAAGCCTGTTTTTTGTTTCTGCAGCCTCCCTGGGAGGTGGCGGCGGCGGTGGCAGCAGCAGCAGCAATTTCCACATTAGTGTGGAGGAATCAGTCGATGGAAAGGTGGTTTCTTCCCGGAAGAGAGAAATCTAAGTATCTGGTGTAGGAGAAAAGACCCTTGGCACCCCTGCTCTCCCTGGGCTGAAAGAGGCACTGGCCAGAGATGGAAAAGCAGACTCCAGTCCGTGCCTTCAGAGAGTGACCTAAAGAGGGTCTCCGTGCTTCTCTTTCCTGGGCGCTACCTGTTCTCCCTATTGCCGCTCTCCCTGCTTCCTTTTGAGTGTGGAGGTGCACGTCACAACTGACCTTTGTGTGTTTGTCCCTTCAATAAAGAATCACTTTCCTCTTCACCAATACCTCGTGGTCTTGAGTTCAGTATGTCTTGGTGGCGTCCGGATCCGAGGAGGTCGCCATTCTGACACTTACCTCTATGTTTCTTTTACTTTTTCTCCTTGAATGATCATACTTTTTTTTTTTTGAACAGGGTTTCTTTGTGTAGCCCTGACTGTCCTGGAACTCGCTCTGTAGACCAGGCTGGCCTCGAACTCACAGAGATTCACCTACCTCTGCCTCCCAAGTGCTGGGATTAAAGGCGTGTGCCAACACCACTTCCTTGAGAGTGTACTTACCCATTCTTGAGCGTGCAGAGTGCCGTGGGCCCAGAATAGCTCACTTTTCTGCTTTATCCCATGAGATGGGGAGAACTGGGAAGGGCAGAAGTGGGGCTGGGACAGTAGGGTACTTTGGGCTACCTAGTACAGAACATGTGTTTAATAATTGTTTTCAGGTGACTGCTGTATTTTGCTGACACTATGCTAGGCACACTCGTCCATGTGTCTGATTCAGTACTCACCCCCGTAGGTGGTCAGGGTTTGTTCTTTTCATCTTAGAGATGAGGACCCTGCTCTTGTAGAGATGAACACCTTGCTTGGTAGCCTGGTGGATGGGCAGTAAGCATTAGGGCTGGACTGGACCTCATACGTCCCTGACTTCTTAACCAGGTCTTGTTCTGGTATCCTAGGCTGTGTCCTATCACAGTGGACCCTGTTCCTGGCTTCTGTCCTTACCGCACACCCTGAACATTCCTTTCTGTCTAACTGGGCATGTTTAGCCTTCAAGATGACCAACCAAGTCCATCTCTGTCCCTCTGTAAAGTTGTACTTTCTCCCTTTGAAGCAGACACCCCTTTCTAAAGGGCACATAAGTCACCTAGAGGGAAAGACGCTGCCTTCGAGAAGTCCCCTTTGATTTTCTCAAGATTAAAAGTAACTCTGCCTTTGCTGTTTTCCTTGATCCAGTTCTCTGTGCCTGCTCGCAATTCCCAGTATCCCCCAGGGCCCATTACAGTAGCAGTGTCCACATACCCCAGCTTATTGCCTCTGTTCTGGGGCTACATCCTCTGAGCCCAGATCCCATTGGCTGGATCAGAGTGTAGGAGAAGAGAGGGTGAAGAGGGCTGGGTGGCTGGGCTGGGCTGTCAGGTCTGGGTGAAGGCTGGGAATGGAAGGGAGAAGCCTTTAGTCCTGCTGGGAGGAGAAGGCTGGAGGAAGTTCTACCTGGTCTTTAAGGAAAGCACCAAGCCTCTGGAGAGGATTGGTGTTGTGTCCATGGTCAAAGACCCTTGATGGAGATAGTGCCCACTCTTCTGAGGAGACTGAAGGGACAATGCGTCTCCAGACAGCACAGAGAGGCCAGACTTCCTTATGCTGGAGGCAGGAAATGGGATTCACGGAGTAGCTATACTATGTTGAGCCATGGGCAGGTCTTCCATGATACCATCTCATTAAGTCTCCCAGCAACACTGTGGAGTGGTGTCAGCTTCCCAAGTCAGTTTCGTAAAAGGAAGTGGAGGCCCAGGAATGTGAAATAATATGAATGAGGTCACAAGCCAGAAAAGGGAACACTGGGCCCTGATAAGGCCCTCTGACCCCAGGTCCTCAGTTTTCCCCCAGTGACAGGAGGTAGCAGACACTGTGACACATCTTTTTAAAGAAGTGTGCTCACTGGAACCTATTCTTGACCTCCAGGCAGTCTGTTCAAGTGTCATAAAGAAATGATGTCAGAAAGATGGTCCTGGCATCTGACCTTTGTCTCTCGTGCCGTGGCTTACGCTCACATGGAAGGAAGCTCAAGACATTCACGGCAATCTAGGCTTCTCCCTGCACTGAGGACAGCCAGGTTCTATACCAAGTCGCCTTCGACCCCGGTGATGGAAGTCTGTAGCCTGGTTCTGGCTCTGCCTTACAGGCCTTGGGCCCCCAAGGAGAGGCCTCAGACCTTCTGAACCAAGCCAGTATTTTTCTGCCTTCAGTCTGCAAACCAGACCAAACAAACAATAAGCACCTCTGCAGAAGGTGCAGTAAGGAAAGAGGGTACAGACTGAGGGTGGCATCTGCTTGCTTTCTCCTGCAGCCAGACCTGAGTCTAGGGAGGAGGAGAAGTTGCCTCGCTGACAGGTGATGTGGCTCAGCGAGTAAAAGGGGCTTGCCGCCAAGACTGAAGACCAGAGTTTGAGTTCCAGGATCCACCTGGGAGGAGAGAACCAACCTCCACAGGTTGTCCTGTGACCTCCATTGGTGCACTGAGGACAACCTCACCCCTCCCACACACAAATAAGTAATCAAATAAATGTAAAAATGTTGTGTATGCATGTGTGTGTGAGAGAGGGGAGGGGGAGAAGAGAGAAGGGGGAGAGGAGAGAGAGAGAAGGGGGAGAGGAGAGAGAGAGAAGGGGGAGAGAGAGAGAGAGAGAGAGAGAGAGAGAGAGAGAGAGAGGTCTTTCTCTAGTGCCCCATTTATCCTTGTTTTTGCTTTTTTGAGACAGGATCTCCCCAACCTGATTTCAAATTCCTCTATGGCTAAGAATAACCTAGAACTCCTGATCTTCCTGACTACTGGGTTTATAGGTGTGAACCACCATGCTGGCATGGAGTACCTATTTCTGTTTTCCTGGGATCCCCAGTGGAGCTGTCAAGATGTTCTTGGAACTTGTCAAGTCTTGTCTCCTGCCTTGTCCCTGGAGGTGCCTATACCTTGAGATGGCTCATGCCCTATGAGCCCTTAAATAGTTTCGGGGCAGAAGACATACACCTTCTGTCTGTTCTGGGCTGAGGTCAGCCTTGGGTTCTAGCCAGCCTGAGGACCCCCTCCCATCCCTACAGAGAGAGGTTGGGTTTAGGACTGGAGGTTACGCCCTTGGGTTTGTCTTCTGCTCAGGTTGGGCTTCCGAGAGCAGGCATGAGATATAGCTGCCGAATCCCCCTGAGGACTGAAGTTGATCTTTTTCCTTCTCTGGGCTTCAATTTCCCAACCTGCAGAATTAGGAGTATGGCTGGACATGGTGACCTGGATCCTCAGAGAAGATCTGGGCACTGAACCTTGTGCAGAACCCTCCGTGTGGGTTCTACATTAACACTTTGCTGCTCTTGGGATGCACGGCTCTGAACAACCTCCCATCTCTTGGAAGTGTATCTACGTAGTGGTCACCTGTAAGGGCAATGGGAGGAAGGAGTTCCAGCCGGACAGCTTTGCTCCTGAGGCTGGGATCTGGGGTAACTCCTTTTATGTTGCCTCTGTGTGCCTTGCCTTACCACCTGCACCCACAGACAAAGTCTCCCCCAAAGAGCTTCTCAGGATTCCTTGCACCAGGAGCTGTGTTCAGCGATGTGGCCAAGGCTTGTATTCTCAAATAAGGTAGAGAAAGTGATATAGCCACCTGCCACCTGCTCGGTTGCTATGGGTGCCATGCAGGGACCAGAGAGGGAGGAAGGCGAAGCTGTGTGTCAGTGCAGGGTGGAGACTCACAAGGATTTTCAGCCTGGCCATCTAACAATGGGTTTGCATTTCTTCCCAGGCAATTCTCTCCTTTCCCCATGCCTTTTTCGTCTCAGGTATTTGATAAGCCTTATGTACTCACTCCTCTAATACCTGCTTTTCAGTTGCGGCCATTCAAGCCTTGGAAGGTTGAGCAACTTTCTTAAGGTCGCAGAGCTCGCCGGTGGCCAAAGGAGGCTTGAAACTCAGGTTCATCTCATCCAAAGCATTGCTGACCCCACTGAGTCCCTGGGCAAGCTGTGTTGACAGGAAGGGATTTTAGGATTCGACACGGTGGACATGCCAGGGCCCGAGGCACCAAGGCTAGTTTGAAGTGATTCATGAGGAGTTCTGTAGGAAGCAGGTGTCTCAGGAAGGAGAGCTGTCTGAAGACCTGGGATGACTGTCAGGAGGAAGGTCTGTTTCTCAGGAGAGGGAGGAAGGACCCCATCTAAGCAAGACACTTCAAGAGGAGCCAGGGTACAGGGTGCAGGCCAGGGAGGGGTCTGCACATTAGCAGTCTGGTGAAGACACATGAAGCTGAGGACCAGAGACGACATGCTGAAGCCAGCTTAGGGATGGCTTCACTGTAATTGCCACGGGAAGCTTTGGAAGTCCTTGCATTTCTTCTTGTTTCCTACTATTCCAGGTCTCAGTTTCCCCAAATGTAAAAAGAGGGTATTAAATGGCACAGTACTTATGGGAATCTTTCACCGAGTGAGCACTCCCATAAATTTCTAGTCTTAGGAACTCAGATCAGTGAAAATCTTTGGAAAGGTGAACACTGCAAACTGTTAACATCATAGACCACCATGGGAAGCAGGAGCATCCTCTGGCTAGGTGCCAGCAATGCCTGAGCATGGAAAGGCCAACAGATGTTGTGCTTGCATGGCGTGGGTAGAGCTGACACTCAGAAACTTGAGTACCCCACCACTAGATATGGTAGACAGAGGCAGAGCTGAGATTCAAAATTTGACTTCAAGGTGTCCTAGGGCAAAGGGGTTGCTTGTCTGAAACTCAGCTGCTTCATCTAAAAAATCAGAGCTTAAAAACATAAAGCAAAACGAAACAAAACCTCTCCTGAGCTGGGGATGTAGCTCAGTGGGCAATGAGCCCGTCTAGCTTGTGTGAAGCCCTGGGTTTGAACCCCAGCACAGAATAAACTTGGTGTGATTACACTCATAATCCTAGCACTCGGAACGTGGAGGTAGGAGGATTGGAAGTTCAAGATCATCCTTGGCTATGTAATTTGTTTGAGGTCATCCAGGACTACATAATCTTTGTGAGGTCAGCCT